GAAACACCATTTGAGCCAACGGGATTTTAGTGAATTTTAGGATTGGAAATTTTGTGGTCTTAATTTTAAACCGAACTAGATGCACTGCTTTCTCTCTCGGGCACATTCAGATGAACACAATTCACTCTGTCACGCTGCGTAAACCTTTCCGCACCAGTAATATCAAGCCATCCATTCGAAAGCTGACAGCTGCTGAGTCGCACAATTGGTTTTCCCAATTGTCCACTTGTCATATCCAGAATACGGTAGAGAGCTAGCTTATATTCACACCCGGATAAATTCACATGACTAATACGACCGTTGAGTGCGTGATGATGGTGATATATTAAGTTGTGCTCACTTGAAAGGAAACCACTAAAATATTCATCAACTGAAAAATTGCGTACATTCAAATTGACGACGTTTAACATTTTGAAGCAGTCGCCTACACCAACTACTGGCTTTTTGCATTCATATGATCGTTACTGATGCGATTAGATGCATACTGATACGGAATATAAGCAAACCGCATACTTTATTCAATTTCTCTCCTGGAACAATTACTCATTTGAATTGAGGCACTCTCGGACTTTAAGCGAAAAGCACAAGGACAGACCCATTTGAGCGAACATACAAACTTATGAATAAATATATAAGTGGGAATCTACCCGTATGAGGTAGCGTCTCAAAGAGCGTTACTGTGGCGTACACGGTGATCAAAGGCTGAAACACGGTGATCAATTTAATNTTACTCATTTGAATTGAGGCACTCTCGGACTTTAAGCGGAAAGCACAAGGACAGTCCCAAGTGAGCGCACATACGAACTTATCAATAAATATATATGTGGGAATCTACCCGTATAAGGTAGCGTCTCAAAGAGCGGTACTGTGGCGTACACGGTGATCAAAGCCTGAAACACGGTGATCAATTTAATCGAATGAAAACGTTGAATAAATTGTCGAGGGAAATTCATGCAAATCCTGATATGGAGTATAGAGTTGTGATGTTAACAAGTTTTATTCATTATCGCCATCTTCGTCAAGAGTGTAATAGTTGTTGAGATTATGGTACGATTAAGGAGTTTTTGATTGATCGCCATCGCGATCAGATCGTTCGGTACATCAGTTCGTAAACACATTGGAATTGGATGCATTGTTGAAGTCTTATAATTTATGCGGCTTGTTGAATTTGAAAACGAACGAACACTCTAAAGACGATTTGTTGACTTCGTAAAACTCGAAAAGTGATTGAACACACACACAAACTTGGGCGAGAGACGAAAAAATCTCAAGACAAATGACTTCAGAATGCTGTACGAAGGCATATGGCAAGTAGTCGAGTTCATCGAGTGTTCTTCATTACGCATACAATAGCCGCTGAGGTTGTGCTTGAAGATAATGACTGACATTTATTGTGTTGAAAATTTCATTTCATGAGCTTTTTTTCTGTCATTACGGTGATGGAAATTCTGAAAAAAACATTATTATTCGCGTTTGGTTCAGCTGGATTATGTCAGAAATTAGCGAAAATGAAATTCGGTTGGCTCTCACTTCGAATATTTATGTATGCATGCATACATCCGTAATGTACCACTTACACGAAACGGACCTTTCATGAGTGCTTCATGAGTACGTTCGTATGAAAATGAGCAATATATCTATTGGCTGTGAAGTATCGCATTGTGACTATCATGAATAATGAAAGCACTAAAAGCTGTCTCGAAAGTCGTCTCGTTTCGGCTGACAGCGCCTCGGGAAGGAATTCATAAGAAGTTTGTTGCTCAGTTGATAAATTCAGTTTCATACTGTCAAGCCTTCTCAAAATAACTTCTCAAAATTCGAATCGAAAATGAATTCAATCGTATCGAATCAGCAGCTGACCTATTGTCTCAGAATCAGTGATGATGAAAGCCATTTTACATGTGATCGATAATGAATTTCTCTGATGTGCTACCCATAAAAGAATTCTTTGTTTTAAGAGAAGTACTTCTAGGCAAAAAACAACCAACAAACCAAATTTTATGATGACTTTCGTGAGCGCAATCATTAGCTTAATTTTTAATTCTTGCTCGTCCGAGACGCTTTCTTGCTTGTTCTGACCAAAAGGCTAAAGGCCAAAGTACCGAAAAGTTCTGATGTTATCAGTAACACTTGTCAACTATTATGCACAATCTACCATCCAAATCAAAATCACTGTGGATTCGTTAAATATGTCCTCGATTAAGCACTTCTGCAGGAAACTGCTCAAGGAGTCAATTACTGAAGAGGAATTCCTGACTGAACTGAGAAACCCATGTTGAGTTGGTGAGCTGTTCGTCAAGCTTGTCACAATTTTAGAGCATGCAGACTTTGTTGAATCACTGTGTTCTAGTTCAAGATCGTGTCTTTGGATTGGAGATGTAACCTTGAACGTCACCGATTCAGTTTGCTCATCGGAATGATGCACACTTGGTGCTAGTGTTCTGATTATTTGAATTTCAGGGCCAGTTTGTCAATATGAACTCACCAGTGATGCATCATCACAAGAAGTTATACCGTTCGTTGTTGAAATTGTGGATGAGAAACGTGGACGTGCTGAAGTACGCGTAAAAGACGGCATTCATTTGGACTGTTCCAGTCCTCAATATAAACTGAACTTGGTCGCTATTCGATGCAATGATCAAATCAGATCCGAGAGGTATACTCTCATCAGTACTATTATTATTTCTTCTGTCATTATTGTAAATTGTTATCATTATCAGTAATGTCACGATCACATATTCATCGCTATTGATGATATTATCAACCATTTACATCGCTTATTGCTAATGTTTTCATCTATTACTAACATCGTATTTGCGTTAATCAACTGAATTTTCAGTGTTCCATTACGAATATCAGTCCACGATACGAATGATCACGCACCTGAATTCACTCAACCGTGGTTCACATTTGACGTTGATGAAGGTAAATCACGAGGAATTTTTGACGATGCTTCTGATGGAATACTTCCATCATTCCTCTGTAGTTTGGAAAGTGAATGAACTCATTAGGTTGTGAAATTCGAGTGAAGCTTATAAGGACATGAATGTTAGAATATGCTGATGAATATAAATGTGAATCAGTCAGCAGCATACTGTAATGAATGCTCTATTTTGGTTATAATTATCCTTTTCGAATTTT